GATTGCCTTACTAAATTTGATATGGGTAACTCAATGCTGCTTTACAAAGATAGAACTCAAACTGTTTATAGCATAGTGAATGCACAGTTAATTCATTCATAATTACTTCTTTTAGTATGCTAGCACTAGAAGTTCCACCTGGTGTCTGCATTTCAGAACTTTTGAGGAAACAAATTAATAAAGAAAATATTTTACCAAAAATCATTCTATACTTAATCTTTATAAACAGTGGAAGGTATGCACAAGCACAGTGGTAATGTTCATGCAACATTCTTATAACTGCTCTTCTGGTAACTTCATAATGTACAGTCATAGTATACACCTGTTTTTAGGAAAAATTATGGCTACATTTGATGCAGTAAAAAAGAAGACAATGCAGAAAAGCCTTTGCAATTCTGTGTATACATATGCTTTGACAGAATGGCACACAGTTGTTCCAAGAACATGTGTGTTTGTTACCATTCTGGCTGCATCTGCCTCATGTTTCAACCAGTGAAACATTAAGACCTGAATGTATGGATTTTTTTAACATATCTAGGTACAATCTAAAACCTTGTATTGTTGGGAATGTTCCTGTTGGCTATTGATGGTCTTCTCAATTTGCCAGCTGAAGCCTCTGTAATTTGTAGTACATCTCAGTCTAGCAGACTAGGGTGGTGTAAATTCAGACCTCTGTATTAAGTTAATGTGCTTCAATTCCTGCTATTGTTTTCATTAGTTTCCACCAAGTGTGTGCTTTGCTTTGAGAACACAGTGCTCCATTTGTCAACTTGAATTTTTTATTATATACTACTGACAATATGGACAGAGGGAGAGAATCAAACTGTCGAAATTCCACCTAAAGTATAATTTAATCAGACTCTGGGCACCTGAGTCTGAGAATAATTCAAATTGACCACTCTCAAGCACCACCCAACCCGTAGTGGCACCTAAAATGAATAATTTTGGACAACTGATTTCCCCTGGCATCTGGACATAAATTCCAGGCATGCTTAGAAGCACCATGGCTTAAGCAGACAGGCATGTAACTCCCACCCAAGTTCCATTGTGACTCAAAGTGTGTGTAGAGATGCCAGAACTTATCCCATGTCCCTAGGGGTACCTAAACCATTGACTGTGCCTCAATCACACACAGTAAGCTTGGACAGCATTGGATTCAACACAAACCACAGCAGTCAAGAGTGTTTTGAGTGTGCAAGAGGAAAAGAGCACCTTTTTAATAGCCTTAAAAGTTTGAGTAGTCATCTGGGAAGGATGCCTGGTTTGTTAAGGAAATTAAACAAGAATGTGAGAACTTAACTGTTGTTCCACTGACAAGGATATTTGCTTTCCATGGAGAGTCAGGTTTTTTGCTCCCAACTCTGATGATGTAATCTTGTTCAGACACTGTTGTCCAAAAAGGTTGAGAGATCAGATGTCAAGGATACTCTCATCTCTTTGTCTGTGTTAATTTGTAAGTTCTTTTGTCTTTATGGATAAATTCGCCCATTTATCAGTTGCTACCCATATTTCTGTAACATCATAACTTTCTTAAAACCTATCTTCTCTCTTACTGCTTTTGGTGTAGACATCATGATTTATTACCTTAAGTTCATGCTCTCTGTTTGTGCTGTGTACAATGTTTACATCTGTAAACATTGAGGTGAGCTTGGTGTGGGTTTCCTTCACCCTTTCTGTCTCTTATTGTTTATATACTGTGCCATGTGGAAAGGTTAAATACTCTGTGTTGGAGTAGTTTTTGGGTTGTGGATGTGTGGAACAACTTGCTTTTGAATTTTTTATTAATGTTTAATGTTGTTCCTTTATTGTTTTCACCCTCTACATAATACCTCATAAGGTTTCTCAGGTTTTAAATGTTTGTAGATGTGATCAGATGAAGCAGTATATTAAACATTCAAAGAACTTCTGAATTTCAAATTCAATATTCAATGAAAATTTGGTTTGGCTTTTCTCATGTTCTAACATGAGGTTTTATGCTAATTTTTCTTTTTGGTCTTTTATTTTTCTCATCAAATATCATTATATTTATTGTTTAAAACATGTACATATTCTACCTATTTTTGAGGATTTTTAACTGATTTCACACAGTAGAAGATGCCATGGCAATAATAGTTAAATATCACTGAAGTATGTTATTAGTCATCTGTATCTAAGTCACTTCAATGCTCAATGCATGCTTTTATATTCTTTTACAGTCACTTGAAGCCATTCAGGGAGCAAGAGCATAGGGGAAATTCTATATGGTAGCAGATAGCCTGCTGGTTTTCTGGATATTTCATCCCATTATTTTGTTCTTTTTCATGTTCACCATCTAGATAGAAGGGTTGACTGTCAAGTGTATACTTTAAAGTATCTGTTAACAATTTTTTGGTCACTAGGGAATTTTCATAAAGGCACCAATGATTACTTTTGTCAAAATAAAGATATTGCTTCTATTAAGTTATATTTATGGTATATGGTAGTTGTATATTAATTTTGTGCTGTTTGTTGGCCAGATACTGGAAAAAGTTTCCCAAAAAAGTTGTGGAATAATTTTCATTCTAGATATTTCCAAAACTCAGCAGGACAGGACTTGCAGTAACCTGATAAAATTTTCAGGTTTTCCCTACTTTAAGCCCAGGGTTAAATCCATTGACCTCCAGAAGTACTTTCCTACCTAAGTTATTTTTGGAATCTAACTGAATTTATCCTTGGTCCAATTCTGCTTAAATCTTGCCTCTTTAGTTGACTTCACTGAAATTGGTAAGGTCCTTAGGAATTAATTTGATGTTGTCTGCTTTTTTCACTTCTCTCAATGCAGTTTTCTTTGTCAGCTCAAAGGTAAGGGAAGTTAGTTAGAGTGAACTCCTGCTGGTTTTTGTAATGCTGGCCCATACCTTAGCTCTTCTTTTGTTTCCTGAATGGTTTGGTATATAGTTAAGGAAGGTAAATTTATATTACATGTACTCACACAACGAAGCTTATTTGAGAAAATTCTGGAGGAAACATGATTTTAGAAGACTTAATACTGTCATACATCTAGATGGCTGTGAAAGTGTTAGGAAGGCATGCAGTGAAAAGCGATGGAGTGGGTGGTGGGTGTGGGTGTGTGTCACCCATAGTGCCACCTTGCCCAAAGACTGCTTCTGCTTGACTTCCAGGCCTACAGTAACAATCATGGTTTCCCCTCTTGTCATTTGATGAAGACTACTGATAATTTCTTTTCCACAGTTGTCTGTCCTTTGTCCATTAATGTGAATTCCCCAGTGTCCCCAATACGGAACTTAGCTGAGAAAGTTAACTGATTTTGGAGAGCAAATCAAATGCTCCCATCCACATCAGGTGCCAGATATCCTGTCTAGCTTACAGCTGTAAGCCTGAGATACCATCTCAGCCTGACTGGAGTGCAGGAAATCATAGGGCCGATCCCATGTCCAGATAGTTTATTGTTCTGCAGTCACACACTCATGCCCAGTGAAGGTATTATTTTTATAAATCATGAAACATGTTCTTTATGCTATATTTGAAAAAAAAGTATGAAATCTAGGTCTAAGTACAGCCAAGCCTATTCTCTTTTGCCTTGCCTTTTGACATTCCAACATCTACAGCTGTACACCAGCATATGGGTCCACTAACAATGTGGGACAGCAGCCAATTTGGTCCTGGGATAAAACAGGAATCAGCTGTGGGAAATAAGCCAAAGAAGTGTGATTCCCACGTGAGGGACTTAAATAGGTGCTAGTCCATAAAGAAGCTCTTTGGCAGGATTTAGAGCAGGCTTCTCTGCACAGGAGGCATTTTTCCTGAGCTCCTAAGTGCAACAATGTCCAGGAGGGTTGTGGGGCTATTGTTTCATCAGCTGTAGTGCTTTGCTCTTTCTTTGCCCCCACCTTTGTTGTTTGTTCTGTTTTGTTTTGTTTTTAAGAAAAGCTTTATAGCACATTGCTGTATAATTGTAATCCCATCAGTATTTTTTTTAGAATTAAACCATTTGCTTCATGTGACTGTGGGAAATAAAATGAAGGAAATTTTTCTGCTGCGTGGGGGGTCAAGTTTCCTGAACTCTGATCCAGGGAATGCTTTTTGCACCATGGCTAGCTGATTGCAAACAGCAATGTGAACACTCTTGCTACTGCTGTGTTGTGTAGAGATCTCTGGTTTTAATTATCTCACTTCTGTCTTAGAAAAGAAATAATTTGAAATTTAGAACTTCAAATTAAATAAGTTGATTGTACCATCCTAATTTATTTAGTATGTAATTAGTGTATATTTAATGGTTACCAAAGTCTGTAGAGTTGAGGTACAGATTTCATTTTTTGTGAAATAAAAACTTTTCTAATGGCTCATGGAAGTGGTGTTGAGGTGCATTCTGTGATAGGTCAGACTTTTTTGGAGACAGTGATGCATCTTAAGTGAGAAAGTAATAACAAAATCAAACAATAGTAAATATTTAGTTCTAAAATACATTCCTTATTTTTTTCAAGCTTGCTAAAGTCCAACTGTTCTGATGTTCAAGATGTCCGAGTCTTTGCCCATGGAGGGCACTGAATCAAATCCCTGCTCAAAGCAGGACCAACTTGAAAGTTAGATCAGGTTATTATGAGCCCTATCCAGCTGTGTTTTGAAAGTCTCCAAAGATGGGGATTATTCCACAAATCCTCTACAAAACTTATTCAAGTATCCCAAAAAATAAACTGGGAAAAGACATATTTTAAAATACTTCTATGTGGGACATTCACTTTGCATCATTTCTTTTTAGACTCCCATTTGTATTAATCACAGATGCTAAAAAAATTAGAACAGAAGCTAATTTAAAAACTTTCAGACATTTATTCTTATAAAAAGACTGAACTGCACTTTTGAGAAGAAACACTTGAATGGTGAGGCCTGTGAATATGTATGAGTGGGAGCAAGTGTTTAGCTTCTTGTTTTCACCAGGTATTATTTCTGTTCATTTCTTTTAAGCAGTGCTTCTTTATATAAGACTAACAAAAAAATCTTTTTCCTCCCTGCTGTTCCAGGCAAGTATTTCCAAATGGGCTTCCTGAAGAATACTCTCTGGTTGCTACATTCCGTGTACGGCGAAATACCAAGAAAGAGCGTTGGTATATATGGCAAGTTTTAAATCAGTATGACACACCTGAGGTTAGAGTCATCTTTGATTTTTTTCCTCAGAAAGTTTCTTTTTTCCCTGTATGTAATATGGCACATGTAATAATGGATGTTCCATTAATGGATTTAGCTAAAGTTTATATGAAATAGACAGACTGCTCTGAAATAATTTATAATTTGTGGCAGGAATGACAGAAATTTAGCAAAATCTTTTCAGTTTAGACTGCAAAATAGAATAAATGCATGTTTTGATTTATAGCTGATATGTATTTACCAAGTTACATAGAAGAATGCTTTATAACATGATTCTTGCCCAGTGTATGTATTTAAAATATTTTTGTTAATATATAGTTTATTTGCTTCTTTCTTATAACTTTTCAATAACCACTTATTTTATTTTGTCCTGCTTTCAGATCTCTGTCCTCCTGGATGGTACAAAAAAGGTGGTGGAGTATATGACCAAATCCTCTCAGGGAAATATACTGCACTACACTTTTAAGAGTCGAGAAATTTATCCATTGTTTGATCGGCAGTGGCATAAGCTTGGTATTAGCGTGCAGTCAGGGATCATTTCCCTCTATTTGGATTGTAATTTAATTGAGAGAAAGCAGACTGATGAAAAATTCACCATTGACTTGCAGGGAAAGACACTGATTGCTTCTCGTGCTGCAGATGATAAGCCTGTAGATGTGAGTAGTATGAAAGGACAAACAGATAACTTGAAGTAATGTTTTAGACATGCTTTTACTAATACAGTTGTAAAGAATCACAAAGATAAAATGTTCAAACCCAGTCATTATTTTTGAGTGTGTATTCTTAATTTGAAGTCCTTAAGTGTTTTTCTCTAAACATTATTCAGTGATGTAGCATCTGCTAAGACAAAGCTGTTTCCAAAGTAACTGCATAGAACTCAGTCCTGGTTTAAGGAGTCTGTTTTTCTGTATTTAATTTGGAAAAAGAGCCACCTAATTACCACTGATATATTATTTCTATGTTTAAAGGTAACTTTCAGTCCTAATTATTTTCTTTCATTTTTAGTAAGATTTATTTATAGATTTGTATCAGTCATCTGTTACTTTGTCTTTGATAAAGGGAGGACACAAAATAATTAAGGATTACTTCTGAATTGAGGTTTTCAAGAGTAATTCAGCTATGTTGAAACAGGGGCACATTGTTCACAGTTATCTCTCCCTTAGCCAAAAGGGAAGAATTAGGAAGTGACCAGAGATTGTTTCCTGCAGCCTTTGGTGCAAGAATTACCCAAGGAAACACCGTAATATTCTGGGCTATTTTGTGTCCCAGGGATGCTCTCTTCTGTTTCCTCATGCAGGGAGGAAAGTAATTTGAAAGCAAGTAATTTGAAAGCACAGCAAGTAATTTGAAATCTTCAGGAAGTCTTAGTTGGTTTTAAGTACAGTGACATGCAGCTACCAAGTTTAAAGCATCTGCCTTGGGCTTTTTAGTGACCATCAGAAAGCTTCAGCGATGTTATGTATGCTGTAGGGTTCCAGAGGAAAATAGCACATTATAACTGCAAGCTAACATTGCAGGAGGAGACATTCTTGTGGGGCACTAAGCACTTTGGCCAGGACTCAGATCTCTTATTTCATGGAGCCAAGCTCATTCTTTGTTTTATTTTCAAAGAATTGAGTTTAACATTATTTGAAATATGTCTACTGTCTTCTCATTTCCAACTGCAGCAGAAAAAGCATGTTTTTTCTGCTGGTTGCATGGTATGAACTGGATAATTCAGAGTGGAAGCTGTCAATTGGGATTTCCAAGTTTGCAGGAAAACATTATGGGCTCAAAGCTGATGAAGGCAGCAGAGCAGATCCTATTACAATGGTCACTTTTCTCAATACCAAGTGCAAGAGTGAGATTAAGAGGATATAAATCTGATGCAGAAAGAGGAATATGAGGACAAGAATAGCTAGTTAGAATTTTACTTGCTTCTCATAATTTCAATCCACCCAAAGTCTCTGAAGCAAAAGCTTTATATACAGAATTTGTGATTTTTGCTCTTCAGGTGATTTAGTGGCAATGTCCAGGCAAAGTTCTGTCCAAAGGAATAGATGCATGTGATAGAAAGTTTATAAATCTTTTTTTTAGTTTCCTGCAGAGGAAAGTTACATTCCTGAAGAGAAGGTTTGCAGAAGATGTCTACAAGGCTAAAATGCCTGTGTAATATAGCAAATCAATAGAGATAGATGCAATTTAAATGAAAATAAATGAAATATAAAATGTGATTTGCATCAAAGTAGTAAACTGCATAATTTGTACCTTAAATGAGGAGCCATATAATTGTTTTGTATTTGCCTTTTTCTAGCATTTCAGAAATATGCAGTGTTTCAAAGAGAAGGTTTACTAGCCCAAGATAAGAAAAAGCTGGCACAATGCATAAATTTTTACACCTCATATTAATTTCCTTTTTATTCCTTAATAGATTGAACTTCACCACATAGCAGTTTATTGTAATTCACAACTTGCAACAGAAGATAGATGTTGTGAAATATCTGCAGACTTGGTAAGTTATCTGTTAGAATTCAAATGTTAATACAAAAGAAATTGCTTTATTGTTTCTTGCTAAAGAGCTGTAAAAAAATTTCAACAGAGGTGATAGTTTAATTACCTCCTAAAAATGAATTCCATATCTGCAGTCGAGGTACATAGTTTTTTGCTGCCTAAATAAATGGTACAGTGGAACATCAGCAAAAGGCACTAGGTGCTGCTAGTGCTTTTTAAATGCATTCCTTAACATTGATTAATATCTAATTAGTAACTGAAGAAGCCTCAGAGAGTAGGAAACAAATCACTGTGATGGCTTGAGAATGGTTTCCAACAAGAGAGGCCATTTCAGTAACAGTTGCGTCTTGTGAAGCTTTACAGATGATATAAGCAAAGCCCATGAAAGAGTCTGCATGACAGTGGAAGAGAAGGAGAATAGGATGGTGTTGACTTTTCTTTATTTTAGTATACTAAAATGGAGGAATGGGTGTTTAATAACTGGAAAGTTGTAGTGGTAGGTTGATGGTTGGACTTGATCCTACAGGTCTCTTCCAATGTTGGTTCTATGAAATACCTTCTTCTTTAGAATGCGTATGCTTATGTGTATATATTGTTTAACATGAGGGAAAACATGGATTTAAAGAGTTTACTTTTCCCTCTTGTTTTGATACACAAGAATCAGTGTAAACTGGAAGACAGCAGAACCATAATTTGAAGTTGCAGATGTAATTATTTTGCTCAATCTAACCCATTAAAAAAAAACAACAACAAAAAAAAACCAAAATAAAAACCAACCAAACCACAAATAGCTTCATAAAGACATTGTGTTTAATTATTGGCCTGCTAGTCGTAAGTAGTCTGTAAGATCAGGCTCCTCTGAAACAGTGGATAGTGCCATCACCACCAAAGTTGTAGTCAGCAAAAAAAAAAAAAAAAAAAAGAACCCAGAGCATGTAGGAGGACTGATCGATTACATCTACAGAGAGACAGGGGAAAGTGTACCTGAATGAGAGAGAAAAATCTGCCCAAGAACCAAAGAGCAGAAGACTGCTTGGTGCCCAGACTCATGAAAGAGGTCTAATTTCAGGGGGGAAATTTCAGTTTTAACAGTGATTAATAGTTCAGCTATATTTCTAAATATATTCTTGATAGTAATGCAGACTTTCTCTTGAATTCATAACCTTACACAAAATGGAATGAAGGAAATTTCTGTATATTCCACTTTGTGCTTGGAAATAGAATTTATTGAGTAGTTATGACACAATAGCAAAAAAACCAAGAACAAAACAAACCTGAATTATATATGAACACAAAAAAACTCAACAATAGGCTTTATCAATAGTATGTAGATATTCATGGATCTATGTAGCTGAAAGCACCACCAGTTTCATTTGTATGTCTTATGTTTAAGATGTAAGAGATGGTGGACTACTTGTTAATGACTTTCATATTAAAACTAGCATTACATTTTCGGATTTATTTTTTTCACAGCTTCCTTACCCACTATAACAGCAACATTTTGAGTAATTTAAGGGAAGGAATTTATACTTGGATACAAATTTCTATGCTAAGCAGAAAATCCTGTGGGAATTTCTCTGACAGAAGGCTCGAAAAAAAACTTCATTACATCTTAATGAGACTTAGACTTACTGAGATTTAGCAGGTTCTGTTGGCTTGTCCAGTAGTATTTCTTCAGGTTGACTCAGTTCTTAGAGTCACAGACAGGTAAATCTTGGCTTCAGGGCTTTTTTGCTTGTTTCCAAACTATCTATGCCAGAAGTATTTAACTACCCCAAAAAAAAAACACCAACTTTTCTTAGCACTCACTTTTATATTTTGCACTTAGGGACGGAGCAGAGAAGAGATTGAGACTATGCAGTACTATCTTTTTTCTTTCTCCCCATGGACATTTTCTGTTTCACTACTTCTAATTTTGGGAGACTATTCCTCTTTATTCCTCTGTAATTTGGAAGAACGAAGTGGGACAGTCATATCAGTTTTAACTGGCATCAATTTTAGTACAGAAGGATCTCAATATCTAGAATTCATTTTTTACAGCTTTTTCCTATGTTTGGAAATTGTTGTCATTTTCTGTATATGGTTTGTACAGGAGTATTAAAACAGAAGATAATGTAAAACAAGTGGTTGGATGGTATTTACTTGTTAACCAAAGTGGACCAAAAACCAGAAAATCTTTTCTTTTTTAGTGCCCCCATGAGGAGAGGTTACTAGCTACAACTTCGTCACCAGTATCTGTTCATGCCAGCAAAATATACACGCTTCCAGGGATGCAGCAAGAATCTACACAGAGATGCTACTGCTTTCCAAATAAAGTATAAAGTTTTCCTGTTGCTTTTTAGTCCATCATACTGTTTAATCCTGTTGGATATAAAAACAGTTGGGTTGGGGTTTTTTTTGCCTTTTTTTTTTTTTGCATGAAAAAATCTTACTGGTTTGTAGTAATGTAACATACTTACATTGTATTTCCCAGTTAAGAAACAGTACATTTTGGATTTAATTTCAAATTTAATGTCAAGTTAGAGATGTCAGTAAGGTTTAATTGTTTGAATATACATCCAAAAAAGTACCATGGTAAAACTGAGAATTATATTTAGGCATTATATTTAGTATAAATATTTTTACTTGAGAATGAATTATATTCTACATAATGTTTGTTTTAATTTAATACTTCTCCTGGGTGTTGCACTATATTTATTGAGTCATTTGCTTTTTTAGGCATTTGGGACAAAGACAGGAAACCTAACCAAATACATTTTAGATCTGCTTTGTTGACATTTTTATTTCTTTTAAAATCAGGGAGAAGCAGGATTGCCGGGAGTAGCTGGTTTGCCAGGCCACAAAGGAGAGAAAGGTGAAAAGGTAAAATATCACTTGAATTCTCTTTTTCAAGCCTTGTCCTTGGCTTATCTTTCTGAAATAGGAATTACATGGATTCGGTTATTCCTAAAAGGAATCTGCCTGAACACAGAGTAGATCCTTTATCAGTCAGTGTCTGGCTCTTGTGTGAGCTTCCTGCAATGCATCTTACAGTTTCCCCACTTTGGAGTCACCTCATCAACTCTGGAGCACAGTTTACCTGCCTGGGAAGTACATGCCTCCCCAGCCCTGTCACAATGCCCTATACAGAAGGCATATAATATAATATGACAAGAATTTTTCCATATCACGTGTGTACATCACTGCTGATGGACAGAATCCCATGTGGTGGAATCATCCTTGCAAGCATCAGTAGGAGGGTATGAAATATGACCTCCATATATTCTTTGACAACACTCATACCTGAAACTGTTAATTGTGAAGAGAGAAGACTCTGACATTGGCAAGTGTCTAGGACAGGCCAGTTGGTCCTTTCCTTGGGCCTTTTCTGAATTTTCCTGTAATGCTTACCATGATATTCTTATGCTATGTAGCTTGGAATTTCCTAATAATATAGGTCAACCTATCAGATGATTTCCTTTCACACTCCATTCCTTAAATTTTGTTGGAGGAATTAAGGAGGAATTTTGTTTGAGGAATTTTGTTGCTGAATTAAGAAATGTCTGGGAATGTGCTATTAGAAGGGGAAAATTGAATAAACTATTGAAAATCTGCCACAAAGACAGTGAGATAGGAATTGAGTTCAGGGAATGCAGTGTGAGAGGAAGATGCTTAGACTGTTCTAATCCAGAGGTTAGATGGATGTATCCTAACCTAACATCCTACCTTGCAGCACACCATTTAGTATGTGATTAAATTGTTTGGTAAGACAGCCAGGGCTGTTCTTATAACTGTATTATGTGGCTGAAAAGGGTCCAGTTCTAAGAAGGCTTAACTACACAGCTGGTTGAAATGAAGAACATTCCTTGACAGTATATTGCCCCCACCACGACTCCTCCCCTCCAGTATGTATTTCACCTTTGACACAAGCTGTATTTTTAGGTGAAAAAAAAGTTCAGTCACATTAGTTTTTATAGTCCAGATGAACGTAGAGGGACTGCTGTCAGTTTTCAGACCTAATCACAAAGTTTTGATCTGGAGCGTATTAAGCAATTGTCAGTTTTTAGTTTTGCTTATGCTATCAGCATAGGGAGTTTCCTAGAATTTGTTTGGGAAACAGTCCTTCTGTCCTGATCCATTTAGACCATTATTGCTACTAAATTGGGAAAACAGACTTCACAAGTGTGATTTTTTTTTTTCTATTTAATGTCCCAGCCAATTAGCAGTATTTACCATGCTAAGCATAATGCCTCTAAACAAAGCATGTAAGGTTCTGTTCTCCCACTTGTTTTACAAAAAGAGCCTCATTGCATGGATTCTCTGTGAATGGAACTATCTGAGAGTCAATGAACCCCGCTGCAACCAGAAGTTTAACCTAAAGAGGGTATATTGACATTTATAAATGTCCTTTCACAAAATTAAATGAATCAGCAGGTTAAAGTCAGGAGTAGTACACCAAACAGGTAGAAAGCTACTTAATTTGAACTTTTCTTATAATTGACCAGTACTTCTTACTTCCTAGCTTTGCAGTGGGTGTTTTTTTCTTTTTGGGGGGGATGGGGAAGGGGGGTTGGATGGAAGGCACAGTATGACTGTGATCAGGATTGGCTCACTGACCTTTGGGAGCAAACAAATCTTGTGTTAAATAGTGCCTGCCATGATGGAGCTGAAAGCAACATTCTCTGAGATTTTAATACCATTTTTCTCATTGACTCTGCATTTACGCAAGTTTTCAGTAACGCTCATTCTCAATGACGGCCTTGTTACATCAATAATTAGACCTGGAGAGGCAGAAAGGCTCCAGAACATTCCAGACATGTAGGATACATGACTTATTGTCAGATTATGTAAAGGAAATTACCAGACTCTGTCTGAGTGTCTTGTAATATATTATACACAAAATAGGCAGCTTCTTGATAACTTTGCTGGCCAGTTATGAAAAAAACAGGTCTTCTCTGAGTTGTGTGTGGTTCCTAAGCACGTTTCCCCCTTTGCTTGTGCTCAGCTTCTCATTTTATTTTTTCTTTTGTTTCTAAATCATATTACTATAGGCATCCAACTAACTATATTTAAATGTCTTTGCCATTGCAGTATCTAAGTGAAATGTTAATTTTTTACCTTCTTTAATGAGAAATTTCTAATTCTGTTGATATTATCTCCTTTTCAGCACAACAGTTCTTATCCTTTTATTTTGCTTTATCTCATTCCGATTTCCCAATCACCTTAATTAATTGTATGATTGAATTTGCATCTTTTTTGTTGCTATGGGATTGACAAGGAAGTCTCTACCGACAGAGATTGATATTAGGCTATATTCAAGCCCCTCAAAATTGCCATTCTCTTCAGTCTAACATCATTGTTCCCCAAGGTCAGACTATTCAGGAACATCTAAGCTATCACCAGTGTAAAGTATGATAACTTATAAGTAATTTTAGACATTTTGAATTTAATTATTGGCCTATGTCCACTCCATTCTTGTACTCTTGGCTCATCTTAGTACCTCTGAACAGAGGTACTTTGGTCTGAGCCAAAATTCAAAGTATATTGCAGGCCCAAAGGACTGGAGTGCCATATTTAAACTGGAACAAGCATTCATGCAAATATTGATATATCCCTGGCAAGCTGTGCATCTGAATGCACAGGTGCATCACTGATCCAAATTATGCCATTTGTGTGAATGACCTTCCTATTTGTATACCTGGCCTTCCATTATGACTTCATGAGGACAGTTCTTCACTCAAAACTCTTATCTCGCATCCTTTGGGCATGAAATAGTTGATTTCTTCTGCAGGGTATTTTTGCTGTGAGATCAGTTTCTGCAGCAAGGGACACCTCTTGTTCTTTAATTTCTCAGCAATTAAAACTGAAAAAATTGCCTGGACCAGCTTTGTTTGCTACTTACTAAGTGTACAATTTTGACTATCCCTAAATAATATTCTCTATTCTCATGACAGCTTGATTATTAGTACAGTGTATTTCACACGTTGCAAATGGACACAAATCAGGTGGAAGTCTCCTGTGATTTTTAACACATTTTGATATCTGCTGTGGAGTTGGGTTTTCTCTTCTGCTGATCTCTGTGAGATGTTTACTGTGTTTTCTATTTGGTTGCAATTTGTACTACTTCAGCATCATATTTAGCTACTCAGAATCTTACAAACAAATTTGTTGTTAGCAAATGTCTTTTGATAATGTTGTAAAGGTCCTGTTTTGTCCTCAATATGTAGAAATTCTTCCGAAAGAATATGGGTGACCATAATTTGAATGATTGCATATATGCTGAATATACAAACTGATTTTCTCTCTCAAGGAGGCTAAGAAAATAACTATGTTTTCTGCTTTTATTTCTTTTAAGCAGACTGAGTGCCCATGAAATATTTAAAATTGAGATCTAAACAGAATTAAATATTTGTATATAACATTAAACCAATGCTAGCTGTATTAATGGGTTATTGGTTAATACTGTAAGTGAAGTAGGGACCAAAAAGCCAGAGGCAGATTGCTTTCAAATATTAAAATGCCTGTTGATGCACACCATGGAGAAATTTATTGCTATTCAACTTCATTACTTTAAATTTTACTTAAGAAAAAAGACATTTAAAAGGCTATTTTGGGATTGGTAGAGATAGGTTTATGCAATATATTATTGCACTAGGAAAATATTTGTATAGAATGATATGAAAAAAATCTCCTGGAGATCAAATTAAATGTCTGAGCTGTTCTTTCTGCCTATTTTCCTTGCTAGTCTTTCTTTCCTGCTACTCTGACTTCCCTCTTAAAATCCAGTTGACTTGATTCCACCTAAAGCATATCTATTGTACTATGCAGCCTTGAGAATGGTTCCAGTCTTTGTTGCTGAGGTTATTCATAGTGGCCTAGAAGCTGGAATTCAAGAAAAAGAAGAAAATTGAGCAAAACATGGCCGGCTGTCAGTTATGACAAAGTCAGGAATTGCCAGTATACTTAGTAGAATAAAATCTTAAAATAAGCAGAATGGAATGCTTCATGTTTCATGAAATGCTAAGAATTTATAGATAGTCCCACTTATGTTTTACCATCTAATAACACAAGTTATCAAATTAAAAAGGGGAAATATCATTCGCAATGAAACAATTTTTTTCTTATAAAAAATTCTGAAATACGACTTATTGTCTTTGTTACCGTGTTTGCCATTCCAGTACTCATCTCAGTCCTGAGTTTGTCTTCCTGAGGAGTGGAGATGGTGGCAGCAAGTCCTCACCACTCTGAGGTGCTCAGAGGTGTGGGGGAAGGTCACGCTTCCCCAGTGGGGCCATTCCAAAGCTTAAACAGGATCACGGGAGCCAGCAGTCACTGGCACTGGTGCAGTAGTTAAACCAGTGACACCCAGCTCAGGCCTTGGTGAGGCTGAGCTCCAGCACTGATGGGACAGAACACAGCTGGGGGCTTCTGCTGGGAGTAGCAGGGATAATACTATGTGAATTCATTTTTTTCCTTTTCGCTAATAGATACTTTTTTGTTTTCTGGGGTTTTGGGGTTTTTTGGTTTGTTGTTTTTTTTTTTTTTTAAACCTGGATATTTCTGGTCTTGTTGTGTCCTGGTTTTAGCTTAGACAGAGTTCATTTTATTCACAGTAGCCAATATGAGGATCTGTTTTGGATTTGTGCTGGAAACAGGGTTGATAACACAGGGTTGTTTTCATTATCGCCAAGCAGTGCTTAATGAAAAATGCATTTATTTTCTGCTCCCTACCCCACCCTACCAGCAAAGGGCTGGGAGTGCACAAGGAGCTGGGAGAGGACCCAGCCTAGACAGGTGACCCCAACTACCAAAGGAATATTCCATACCCTAGACATAGTGCCATGATCAGTATACAAAGAAGTATATAAAGCAGTGGGAAGAAGGAGGAAGCAGGGGGACATGTGGAGTGAAACCAGTTATCTTCCCAAGTCACCACTATATATGATGGAGCTCTGCTTTCCTGGGGATGGCTGAGCACCTGCCCTCCCACAAGAAGCTCAGTTGAACAGGACTTTCGCTATCACCCTTAGTAAATCCTGACAGTACATTTACAGCTCATGGTTCTACCTTTGGCTGTTGTTGCACTTTGGCTGTTGTATGTACCTCATAACCTATAAATGCCAGCCTTGTACTACTACTGTTCACCACCTTCCAAAGCTGTTTACCCAGCAACTTATCTTTCTCTTCTTTGCAAGACTCTAAGGCCTAAAGAAGGAAAAGAAAATACCATTAAAAATATAAAAATATTGAAGATGCATTTCCTTTATTTTTTATTTTAGTCTGTGGCAGTATTTCTATGAATACTATTAGATACCTATAGTGTCAGATATTTATATTCATGAAGGCATGAAAAACTACCACCTTTCCTCATGTACTTATTAAAATTGCAACTAGAAGATAGAAGCATAACTTGCAGATCTAATTTGCAGTGGAAAATAATTGTCTTCAAGATGGGCAGTCTGTCTGCAGTTAGTGGAACAGAAGTGTAAACATACCTTGGTTAATTGGCTAGTAAGTCATACAGGCTAAAGGTTTCCTGGCGTGTAGCAGGCTGTGTAATTTTAGACTACACAATGTATAAAAATACACCGCTGAAGGTAATAAAGTGGTACTGGTCTATTAAAATACTGGCAAGTGGCAGAAGGGAACAGAGGATGCATAAATAAGAGAATGACTCTGTGGGTGATTAGATAAGGTAACTTTTACCTCTCACAGTGCCAGTGGATTCATGCTATTCACACATACAGGCTTCAGGATTTTGGTCTATTTTTGAGACAGAGCTGTTTAATATCTTTATCCATGTTCTGAGTGAGGGTTCAAGTGCCTGCTCAATAAGGACAAGTCCTATAAGGAGTGACTGAGGCAGTTGAGGGTATTTAGGCTGAAAAAAAGAATTCTCAGGTGTGACCTTATGTTCTCTACAAGTGCCTGAAAGGAGGTTGTAGGCAGGTGAGAGTCAGGCAGTCAGCCAATAACAGGACAAGAAGAAATGGCCTCAAGTTGTGTGACAGAAGGTTCAAGCTGGATGTCAGGAAGAATTTCTTCATTGAGAAGGTGGTCAGTCTTTGGAATGAGTTGCCCAGGGAAGTGGTGGAGTCACTCTCCCTGGAGGCATTCAAGAAACAACTGGACATGGCACTCAGTGCTATGGTTTCATTGACATGGTGGTGTTCAGGCAAAGGTTGGACTTGATCTTTGAGGGGTTTTTTAACCTTTATGATTCTGATACGACTCTTGTTGTGGACTTCTGGCCAATCTTACTGCTCAACTTAAGAAAGGCTAATAATTCTTTCTCAACTTCAGAAAGGTTAATAACTTCCTTTCAGAGCAGAGTTATAATGTTATTCTTCCTAGAGAATGTTCTTTTCTTGGTAGAAGTAGGCACACCTAATGTTTTGTTTTGTTTTAAAATGAACATTACAAGGTTTCAGTGCTTTTGTTGTATTCCTCTGGAATCCAAATTTTTTTTATTTTAAATTTTATAAACCTTACACTTTACATTATTTAGCAACATTTCTGGATTTGATGTTTTCTTGTGTCATTTTTAAGACTTATGGTTCAATTTACAGCTGCTGGGATCTTCCATAACTTTCCTGACCAGTCAGTCATTTTTCTCTCAAAATTAAAATTTTCTTATAGATTGCTTATGATTTGGGGTTTGGTTTCTCTAAAGGGGTAAAAGGCAGGGAGAGAGAAATTTAAACAATGCCTTTCAAAAATATTGAGAGCACACGGATGTGTACAAATCTGTGTTACATGGTGAGCTTTCTCAGTGCAGAACTGAAAAAGCACCCTCAGGGTTACCATCTTCTATTGCAATGAATTCCTTTAAAATTAGCAGATTTGCTTTTATGGAAGTGTGGCTATGCAAGTATTTGTCTGATGAAGGACTTAATTGATATTATAGGTGTTTAAAATGCATTTATTTTGCTGATTTTAGTGTTACATGTAAGGCATCCTCCTCCACAGTGGTTGCATTACTAAAAAATCAGGTAGAAGATGCTTTTCTATTGAGTCTGAGTAGTTGTTGTTAACCTCAGAAGTCTGTGGAGCTTCTAATTGATCAATTTGTTTTGTAGGGTGAGATGGGTGTGAAAGGACCAGACGGTGTTGCAGGTCTGCCTGGTGAAAAGGTATGTTTGTGTTTGTTGAGTTGTGATTTAACTCATGGGAAGTGTTCACTATGTCAGTGGCTTCTCTGCAGTTGTGTACAGAAATGGGAGGATAGAACATGTCTGTTAGAACCTTAATGTCTTACCTGCACTGCCGTGGTTTTGTAGCACACTGAAAAAGCTGTTCAGATCAATTGTATTCTCTGCAGATGTGCATGTTTGGTGGGGTTTTCCCCAAGAAGTGGGGGTTATACACAGAGCTAAAGGAAGCTACTTTTTCCACCTCCTTAGTTTGTGATCTGCAAGCTTAGATAAGAGCTCTTGTGCACTCTGCAGTCTGCTTGGTAGAGCTTGAGATAAACACCACTGACTTCTTAATCAAGAATAGTCATGGCTAAGAAGGCATGCCAGTGCCTACCGGTGTATTCAAGGATAAGATTCACTTCATTTCAGAATGCTAGTGTGCCAAATAAGACAATTGTATGCACTTATTGGGTTTGGTGCTACTTACCTGTATTAGAGGAAGTCTACAAGTCTAACATCTAGAATCTTCAGTATAGAGACAACCCTCATAACACTGAGGAAACAGCTTGTTGTTGTCAGGCTTAAAATCCGTGGATTTACAGGACAAAAAACTATGAATTTGTCTTTTATTTTTACTTACTATTTCTGTCTCAAATTGTGATTTTTTTAAAAATGGGAAGATGTATATTAGCAAAGTTAAAAGTAAAAATCAGGGTATTTGTTGCTGCTGTTAAGAAAAATGGAGAACAGGCTGAAAAGATGTTTAAAGGAATTTGCAACATTGAAGAACTGAATTACCAACTGGTATGTAAAACTCAGAGAAAGCAATAGGCAAGTGATGCAGATGAAGAGGAAAACAAAGGAAGCATTATGCATTTCATGCCAGACTGGACTAGCTATTACTGTTCAGGAAGTGATTTGGAATTACAGATCAAGGAAAACATGGACTCACTGTTTAGCACTAGTCAAATTACTAGGAAGAGAATAGGGAACAAAGAAAAAGACTTTTAATACCACCATTTTATACAGTTCTGGTTCTCACATCTCAGTGTGAATCTGATAATACCAGAAAAGATTCAGAGGTGTCAAGAGTGATGAAGAGTGCCAGACATCTTCCAATTTAAGTGTGACAATGTGGACTTCAATCTGAAAAAGGCACAATTAAAAAAAAAATATGTCATGTTCTGTTCTCTGTAGTCCTGAATGGAGCAGAAAATATTAATAGGGATTTATTTATTTATTTAATTCTTCATTGTGTGAATTAGACCTATCTGATAGCAGGTTCAAAAAGGATAGAAAGAAAAGATAGGCTCATTCTTCCTGCTCCAATATTATAGTTTGAACACTACTACAGAACTTGAAAAGTCTGAAAATGTTTTAGAAAATTAGTGAAGTAAAATTCCATTGAGTGTGTCAGTCTGCTTGTACTTCACGAAGTTGGAATCTGGGAAAGCCGCAGGAGGAGTCTTTATGGCTGCCCTGTTATATTTTTCTGTAGACCTATGTTGTTGCCATAATTGTAGTCCTGTAATTGATTGGAGAAACCTTTGTTTTGATCCAGATAGACAGTGTTTTACTTTACCGTGCTCCTAGATGTGAATTAATGGAAAGAGTTATTGTAAAGCATTGTAGATTGAGATTGATCTAGAATGAAGCTGTGTTTTCCCTTGGCTCTTTCCATAGCTCCTACTCTGATGTTATCTTGCTATAAACTTACCAGGCTATGTTGCGTTTCCAGTCCAAGTTATTATTATTACAGTTTCCATGGTTAATATTGTTTGGGTTTTTTTGCTAAGCGCTTTGCAAATTCATTGTCAGGCCAAATCCCAAAGCTCCTGCTAGTTTACATGAAGCTCAACAGTCAGATCTTATTTAATATCCAGACATTGTACTTTTTCTGAACGTTACAACTCTTTCAATTCAGCCTATATAAAATACAAATTACAAATGAGCTGTGAATTAAAAATTAACTACCATGAAATACAAAACTGTCAAAGCTTAAAACTTCTAAAATAAAAAAAAAGAAAACCAGGTATTTTGTACATGCATAGCTAGATGAAGAAGCTGAGACCCAGCTATCCAGCTTCTGCTTGCCAGAGTGGTCATGTCTGTGTGGAGTAGTGCAGTGCTGTGTGCATTAGTTCCTTTCTGGAGCTAGAATTAATATTTTCCTCGTGTTGTAAAGATGCAAACGTGTTCTCTCCCAGGTGATGCATGAAGAATCAAGAATATATACATTTGTAGAATCTTTTATTTTTGTGCTCCCCTAAGTGTGTGTTCTGGATGCTAACACTGTACGTAGAGTTAAAGATAATGAAGTGGGGAAGCAGCACCAAACCTGTCTGAGTTGAAGAAGCATTTGGACAAAACCCCCTCAGGTGCAGGGTGGCATTCTTGGAGTGTTCTGTGCCAGGCTAGGAATTGGACTTGAAGATTCTGATGAGTCCCTTGCAACTCAGCACATTCTATTATAAAAATACCCTAAGCGCTTTTGTTTGCAAAGGCATCTCCTACATTTCAGGGTGTTGAGATGCAGACTGTGCAGTGCTAGGAGAGCATTCTGAGGAGCTACTGCTATTTATGTATCCTTTCAAATACTTGAGCACGTTATCTATTGTTGTAGATATTAAATGGCTTAGTATGGATTTTCTTGTATTTTTGCACTGTGTATTTCTGAGCTTTGCACAGGTGTGCCCCTGAGTCACTAGCTAGAAACAAGAAGGAAAAATTAATTATACTTTTAAAAAATTTAAGTGACGATTGAGGCTTCAAAGAACAGAGGTGCTTTTGATGATACTCCCAAAACCTATCCACTGCAGTACTCCTTTGCTTATACTTCATTCCCTGGGAAAAGGTTCAGAAGCAATAGATTTTACTCATGTTTTTATGCACAAGCAACAATATCAATTCATTTGACCTATTTTAGATGTTTGCCTTAGAATGAGATAAACTTGGCTGTTGAAAATCCTGTTTCTTTAGACTGATTATCTCAAATATACCTGGTATAGTGAAAAACTAAACTTAGACTAATACTATACAATGGACTTTATTACTTCAGAGAATCTTCATAGGAGAATCTCCTAGAATGGTGCTTGATGCTCATATCCTTAATTTTCAAGATGTGGGTAAATGGTGAGACATCTGTGAGTCTTTATATATGTCCTTGACTTTCAAGGATCTTAAGTGTGAAAATTGTTCAGTCTGTCTTCATATGTGACACTTTGCCTTCTGTCACTTTCAAGACATACTGTCACTGACAACATGATTTCCCATTCACTAAATGCTGCAGTGGTTTTGCCACAGTCTGCTGGCTGATAGGTGCACAAGTAAGTGGTATAGACTTCTAGGAGGCTCTTGCCAATTAAGAGGTTGAATCTGCTGAAGGCTAATACAGAGAACAGAGTTTAAGGCTTGGTGACTCTAGGGTAACATAAGAATAGCCTTAACAGCCTAAAGAAACCAGAGGAATGTTCTCGCCATAATTCAGCAGTTTTGTGGATTTTTCTGATGCAGTTCTTGTAAGCTGCCAATGTAACAAATGAGGTTTTCATTGACTGGCGGCTCACCACAAGATGCCTGTTGTCTCATCTGCCTTTGGGTTAAAAGAGGTCAGTGTCATGGTGCTTATGACCATTCTAGAGAGTCAAGAATCTAACATAGACACTGTGGAGCCCTACCTCACAACACAGTAGATAGCACCATTACATATGTGACTGTCTATTTGATGTCCATCTATCTAGTTTCTTCTCCCCATCCTTTCTCAGGACACTGTCTTAAGAGATTTTTCTTTTAAATATTAAATCCTACTTGGGGCAACAGGATAAACTCTTGAGATTATCAGAGGAAATAGTTCTGAGGAATTTGTTAATAATTCTAAAATGGGAGGGTAGTAGTCTTCCCTTGGAGGGAAATTTGCTTCCTTTGTAGACTATCAGAAGAGATGGACTACAGTGGCACGATCCCTTTCCTGCAATCGGGACTGATTTGTAGCTCAGCCTTCTAGGCACTCTTCTTCAATGTATCTGTCAAACTATGATACAAGTACAACTGGAAGTTGTGGTTAAACAGAATCCCTATATATATGAGACCTTAGGCTCTGTCCTTCTGGCAATGTTCAGCAAAGGCTGTGAATAGAGAAGAAATGTGTTGAAGAAGCATTGTGTTAGCCTACTTTTTGGTGATCAGCAAGTGAAACTGCCTCTGGATACACTTCTAAAGCCATTTAGTGTAATGGGATTGTAGCCAGAGTGCTAGTTATGGCATGAGAAATTAAATCTGTCCCTGAAGTGGAGGTTTGAGGTGACTGGACTGCTTTAAAATATAATATGACAGTCACCTATCTGCTCCAGAAATCAACCAATCCTGATCTAGCAGTTAGACTCATTATGGCAACAAAAACTGATTGCTCAGCCATTAAGAATGGCCTTTACCTATCACTGCTGTGTACAGGGTCACATCACTGGTGTAACCCGAGCAAGGTCAATACATCGCTGTAAAGTATTTTTAAAAGAGTTTAATGATTTTTCTAGTGTTCCTGTACTACTGAAATGGAGAGGCAGCACTTCTGTTGGTGTGACCCACAGGCTTCTCCCTAACTGAAGTCATAATGTCATCTTACTTCCATACAAGTTGAATGTGTGCAGGTCCTTTCCATAGCATCCACTGGGGGATTGTTACAGACATCCATGACATGTGTTTTGCATTGGGTCTCTGCACAAAGTATATCATGTGATGGATCCTTCCACTACTTACAGGGGGGCTTATAAAAAAAAGGGAGAGCTACCTTTTACAAGGGCAGATAATGACAGGACAAGGGGGGATGGTTTTAAACTGAAATATGAGAGCTCTAGATAGCATGCCAGGAAGAAATTCTTTACTCAGAGGGTGACAAGGCACTGGAACAGGTTGCCCAGAGAAGCTGTAAATGCCCCATTCCTGGAAGTGTTAAAGGTCAGGTTGCATGGGGTCCTGAGCAACCTGGTCTAATGGGTGGCATC